GAAAGCAAGAACCTGCCTCCTGCAAACTGTTCAAACAAACGCTTCAACTTTTACAATTTTGAATCTGTATTTTTGAATATGGATCTTAAGTTGGCGTGAAGTTGAAGTCGTGCGACCTTGCTGTAGTTCGTTTATAGCATAACGTTAGCATTTTGCTTCTGGCGACTAGATTTGTGATTCAAAAATTATAAAAGTAGGGTTGACATGTGGAGATTATCCGGCTGAACAAAACATGATCCCTCTCTTAAATGTGTGTCAACCACAGACCTTATTTCGAGCTATTTTCCAAATTCCTATGGAGAAATTGCATTGGTTTTTGACAAAGGAACCGGAAGAAGTTTACTTCCGGGTTTTATGACGCGTCACTGCGGTTCTCTATTGCGTGGGGTGCTACGGATACAGTAGCAATAAAGCCAGCGCTAGCCGCACTGAGTATGACTTTTCCACATACGAACACAACTTTTCCCGTCATGCACGCCTCATGCCCGCCGTACACACACACTCATATGGAAGGGGCGGTCTCTCCCCCCAACAACAGTGCATTACATAACTGTAAAACTTATATCTGTGCACATCTTATACTTATTTAATAACTAACTACTATATCCCTTGGTTACTTGAACACGCTGTTGCTACAATATTATCAACCAGTGTCCTACTTAGCGCAGAAGTAGACGCCTTAAACGTCCCAGAAATTGGACGTTTTAAAAATCGCTGCATATTATTGTAATACAATAGCTGAATCACTTGTATTAAAAAAAAAAGCGAGGGAACTTGTGTCCTTAACCTCATACGTCACACACACACACACGTCAAAACATGCAACTCCTAAAAAATGAAATTATTTCAAACAAAACATGATATTCAGATCTGTATTGTAACAATCATTTTATTACATCTATTAAAAATATATATATACGAAATATTTGTAGACATAGTAATGCTGTAACCTATTTCAGCGCAATGCCCCCCCTGCAAAATCCGCCTATGACTCCAAGTGAGAGAGTTTTCTGAAGGCAGTGTGTGTGTTTGTGCATACCTCCTGCATGGAGAGCCTCCAGTCATCGTTGAGGTCCATCTCCTGGAAGGACTCGTGAGACCTCGGTCCATTTTTGATGTTAAGCAGCTCAACGACAAAGGTCAGCGTGCTTTCAGGAGGGATCTTACCTGAGCAGAGAACAGCACAAAGCAAGAGGTCAGATAGAACTGAGACTGTATCAACTGGGGTTTATATGAGAGTGCTTCAGTTTAAAGAAAGCATTTGGTGTGGCATCCCTTAAGAATCACAAATATTAGAAAAGTCCTTTCAGGAAAGAAATGAGTGTGATCAAGATTTTTTTTTATCCTTCATCTCAAGAACAATGTTTAAGTTCAACTTTCAGTAAATGAGAAAAGCTAGTTGTTCAGGATAATCTAAATAAGGTATATCATTACATTACACATTAAAATAATAATCAACAAATCAGATGGAAAACGTTTAAATATAGTTTTTTATAATTGCTGCTGGCACTGATACTGAAAGAAAAAAAAAAAAAACCTTTCATTTTCCTTTTCGATGTTTTCCCTTACTCTGGCCCTAATATTTGCCCTCATAGCAACACATTGCAAATTAATTAAAGTAAACATAAGACGAAAACATGTTGAAAGTGTTACTAAGAAGTAAAATTAGGTTGCATTATTAGTCATGTTTAGTCATTCAGCTTGTTATTAGCGAGGCAAAAGTTAGTCAGGAACAGAAGAGATAGATGTTAGGGGTTAAAGTGGAGTGTGCTTACCAGGAAAAAGCATAACATTGTTCACATGCTCCATGTAGAGAAAAAGTGGAGTAATACCGCTGAATGAAACCTTCATTCAGTTTGGGAGTCCTGAAGAGCAATTCAAAACAAGACAGACAAGTATAATATGCATACATGCAAAATTAATGTACAGGAATATTACACATTTTCTAAAAACCTCAACCACTTTTATAAAGACAGTCCCATGTTTCTTCATAGCAGCATGCACAGCAGTTTGCATGAATATGCAAAGCTGCAGTACCTTTCCCTTCCTTCCCGTAGGCCAGGGCAGGAGGGACAACAAGTTTCCTCTTCTCTCCAGAGCACATGTCCTGCAGGCCTTTATCCCAGCCTTTAAGCACTTCCATGATGCCCAGAGTAAACCACATGGCGTGCCGGTCACCATCAGTTCGACTGGAAAGCAAACACAGACAGAGAGTGTGGGGTTACAGGTCTGCAAGAAGACCCCCTTTAGAGACAACAGCAGGTAACACTAGTGGAAATTAGAGTGAACAGCGCTCACTCAAATCACAAAAGAACACAACATTTCCTCAATTACAGTCCCTACTGAGGAATGCTGCATATCACGCCTGTTTGACCTCGGACCTCAGCTCTAACTATTACCACCTTTTGTACATGGTATGTATGATTTTTTAAAAGTATATTCAGTTTTCATAAGCTGTGTGTGGGTTTGTGCATGTGTGTATGTGCATGTATGTATTTGCATAAGGTGATATGTATGAATAAGAACATGTAATATATGTTTACAGAATGGTTTTGTTAGATCAACTTTTTTGAATTAAATATCACATTGTTGTCTTTTTTAAGTAAGTGCCTTATCTGTTGTCATGCTATGTTTGGCTTTTATGGTCAACTTAATAAAATGTGTCTTGTAACTTGGCTGAACTGACCCTTTACATGTTTTATCACGTGATCCTAACAGATGGAGGATTGACCAATGAGATTTGACACGTGAACACCTGGCATGGAGTAGCCATAGCAACCGGTCGAAAGAAAAGTCGGATTTAAAGTTTTTTAACAACAAATGTCAAACCCGTATGAGCAGTTTATTTAAATGAAGAAGAAGAAATACACTAAACGGCTTCCACTTAACGTCTTGAGAAAGTTAGTTTCATTACTTTTAATCTCGTAACAACTCCTGCTCTCTTGAAACTCACCGCGGGAGTTTTTCGAAGACAGTTTGCCGACATGAAACATACCTGGTGTACAACATTGTCCCATTCTCGAAGTACAGCTCGTGATGCACCAGCAGCATGTCTCCGTACTTAGTTTTACGGCGACAGAGGAAGGGTCTGTGCAGGACATCTATCTCCACCTCGGCTTCAGGGAGCTTCCCCCCGCTGACGGAGAGCAGCATGGAGGAGCATAGCCAGGCGAGCACTGTCAGCATGCTGCCACACTGTCACCTTACTGAGGAACAAAACAGGTAAGTGAAATGTTGGGAAAAGTTTGGAGAAGCTGCAGCGACACGCGTGCAGTTTATTTTCTACGTGGCAGTGACGTTTCATCCTGCATGTTGTTGCAGGAAGTATTTTCCTGATTGGTTGGTTTTGACCAGTAAACCCGCCCACAGACGCTCCCTCTTACAGATGTGAAGTTTTAAAAAAAAAAGTGTAAGGCAATTTTTTTGCATAAGGCACATAAAAAACACAAAACAGGGCATTCATATAAAAAGATGGCAAGGATCAAATTAAATAATGGTGGAAATTATACTTCAACACAATCTGTCTCAAATAATAAACAATTGAAGAATCCTTATTATATTATCATGACTAAAAATCTAATATTATTTTTAAAACTAAAGAACAGGTAAGAATAAGGTAAACAGACAAGGAAGTATTCCGTATTATTATACATCTGGAATGTGTTCTTGCAATTTGTCCATGAAACACAATTATATTTCAATACATATCAGAATGTTATCCTTTTGACAAAAGCAAACTATATAAATTCAGTTTCTGAAGAACAACATATATATTTTTTAATTATGCATTCATCTTTTTTGAAGAAAATCACCAACAAGCGAAATCATATGAAATGATGGATAAGAAGAAATGCACTCTGAATTGTTGGCCTCACCTTTATTAGTGTACAGTGTGAACTTTACAGTCATGCAGGCAGATTAAAATACACTTATTACATTTGGCTGAATTAAGGTTGAATTTCCTTTGATGTAACTGAGCAGTTTCTTCATGCTGCTGCGATGATCACAGTTTTTCTTGTTGCAGTACGACATTCGTTTCCCTCCTGTCGGTATTTGAACATTCACATCGAGAGGGCTATACTTTGGATATTACATTTATAGCACTAGGTAAACAGTCCAATGTGCACTTGTACACAATTACATGCATTTTCACAGTATTACACTTCATAAATACATGTTTCCTAAGGAATAAACACATTTACACACCCCTGATTTGCATACTACAGTATATATAGTATCAATAATATAATTGCCTCATTTGAAAGGCTCTTTTTCCTGTCTCTCTTTACAAAATAATTTCACAATACAGCTTATTTTTGCATTAACAGTCAGCAAGTCATACACATTGTAACTATTTCATATGATACAATCATTAAAACGTGTCCCACCACCACCACCGGTGTCCATAACAGTGCTGCAGCCGATGACTATAACAGGAAGTGGCTCCCTGAGGCCAGACAAAGATTGAAACCTCCAGGGGAGACGGTCGATTCACATGGCTCAGAGCAGGCGCAAGAGCTTCCTTTAGTCTCTTTCATTCCGTCATTTATTTTAAAGGGGTGAGACTTCAGTAGAAATCTGAAATATAGACCCCAGTGATCAGAAAGAGGAACTGCGAAGTTGCAATCAGGCAATTTGTCTCACTTTCCAGTTCAGGTGAAATACTTGCAACCAGTGGAGTCAATGAGGCAAGAGTCGGTGCATCTGAGCCGCCCAAAGGACCTGTGGAAGATGGGGAGATATGTTATGGAAACGTTTTCTTAAAAAGTGCAACTGACTTAAAGGGGGCTGTTGTGTAGTGGAAGCTTAGAATAATGAACAGAGCGGGTCTAGTCCAAACTGAACATTTTGATATATATGAATGCAGCAGTTTACATCAAGAACGGTAGTTGTAGTGGAAACGTGCAATCAACATCGGGTATTAATTTCAATATCAACTAACCGGAAAAACACAGAGCAGGAGACTTCATTGTACTTAAAAATAAAAAAAACATTTCTCCTGTGTCTTATGTCATTAAGCAAATAAACAATCAAACAAGTTTCAACAGGAGCGAAGGGGGGACGCCATTTCCCTGATTGGCAAAATGACCAAAAGACATCCCCTTTGTTTACCTGCTCACCCCCTATCCATCCCAGAGGAACATAATGCAGGGGGAAAACTGTGCTTTGTGGTAGACATAATATATGGCCCTTACTCTTGATAAATCCATGGAGATGTCCTTGGTGTTGAAGGAGCAGACATGTTTGTAATTGTGAATTTTTGTGAGTGTCTTGTCACTTTTGTCTTAGATCCATAATATTCTCTAAACTTCATAACAGCCAGACAGACTACCTGATTACCCTGCTTCGAGTCTTAATGCTAAGCTAAAGTAACTATACATCTTCTCAACTGTCAGCAAGAAAGGGAAATGTGCGTTTACCCAAAATGCTGAACTTTTCCTTTAAGCATAATAATAAAGCATGCATATGGCAGCTAACTCATGGTGGTTCCAGGGTAATGCACCATCATCTCTGCAGGGTTTGAGAGACCTCCCACTATACAGTAAGTACGGTATTTCATTCCAATGACCGTTTACTGCCCTGAGTTGGTGCAGTATGAAAGTGCTGCGGTCTAAACTGCAGAAAGTCTTATTGTAGTATTTCTACACCAATAAATGGACACTTAGTGATTGTTTATGCACACTGTCAGAGAACATACCCGGGGAGATAGGATTTGCAGATCTGATAACCAAAGTCCTTTCCATCACACTCCTCAATGCCGTCATGTCGGTAGCCATCGCCGCAGTAGGCCCACTTACAGTCTGAAGTGAGGAAAGGAAAGGAGGTGAGGACATCGTATCGGTGGTGGCAGCGTATTGAGAGAGAAAGGAAGGGAGAGAGAAGACGTTACTTATTGCTTTGGCACTCCTCCCGCGAGTTTTACAGTGATGCCAATACAGCATTTTGCTGCTAATTTAATTGAACAGAGGAGAAGTGAGAGGATGGCAGGAAAAGAGAGGGGGAGATGAATGATAGATCAAGGAAAGGTTTCACAGTGTGTGTGTTCTGCTTTTATCCTCCGCAACAGCAGGGCAGCGTTTCTGCAGCAACAGCCTAACCTTCTGTTTTGTTTGTCTTAATTCTAGTTACACTGTATTACATAACATGAAGGGGAATTGGTTTCCATATTCATTTATAGCACATTTCAACCCAATTACAAACAAATTAACAAACAAGTAAGCCGAATGAATGCTTGTCTTTATCCATTAAAGTTTGAATTGTTTTGAGCTAGTTCATTGAAATAAACAGTAGGTGCCGCCAATTCATTCATGTTCCGAAAACCATTATCCCATTGCAGAGCAAGAATATACAACGAGATGATATGAGAGCGCTAGTATTTCTTTTAACAGTGACACACAATATTCAAAATGTAAAAATATGACATTTCAGTTTGTTTCATTAATGGGAGGGAGGTTACATCAGATCTGTGAGGAGCAGAAGCTTCAATGGACTTTAAAGTCACATGCTTCATGTACATCATCTTTTGTGCGTAGAATCTTAATCCATAGCACTTTGTAGCATTCTGCTTTTAACAATACAAAAACTTTTCCACTTCAGCCTAGCTTAAATCTGTAAATGAATAATATAAACTGCCTACTGTCTGTAGATCACTCTTCCCCTCCACATTACCGTACGTGTGTGCACGTGTTCAAATGAGCAACAGATGCTTGTAACTCACTAAGACAGGCATCGGTGACAATCTGGTTTCCATCATCACACTCCTCTCCGTGCTGGGCCTGCACCTTCCCGTCTCCACACACACCAACTCTGTCGGGGACTTTCTCTGTGGACTGGAACGGCTGGAAGGGCTGAACACGCAGGACAACAAACGCTAACTTGACATTTCAGGCAGTGAGAAAATCGTAACTTTAATTGTTAAGGCATTACGCGGAAACTGGACTGTATTAGGGGGAAAGTGAGCCCCTTACTTAAAATGATGCATGTAGTAGTTATATACATTTTTCCATCAAATCTAGACCAGTTTGGACGAATAAGTCAAAGTCCACTTATTAGTTTTTCTACAGCTTTTCAATCGCGTCTCATGGTCTTCCTTTGCTCCTGAAAAAGCCAGTAAGTGAACCTTGAGTTGAGATATCTAAATTCTAGTCAAACTTTGTTTCTCAGGTCGAAAATGAACATTCACTCTTAAATACTGCTCAGTTTTAGCCTTGATGTGAGCTGTAAATGATCACTTATGTGCTCATTGGCATCAGTTTGAAAAAGTCCAGCACTGGTTATTTGAAGATCTTCAGTTTCATCCTAGCGAGTAAAAACGCTAGTAGTGTGTACAGTACATAATAGTTGTTACCTGTATGGGCTTCCATCCATCTTTATCTTTGAAGTACAGCGCCCTCTGGTCCTTCCTGAATGCTATTGAGTCGTCTAAACGCAGACGCTCCATCTCCTCCTCATTGTTTACCACAAATATCTGCACAGATACACAGTCAGCGCATTATGAGTCATGATTGTTTCAGTGGGAACAAATATTCAGTTTGGATAGATGAATAATATGGGTGTGCTTTTATGTGACGGATCTTACTGCAGGGACTTTATTGAGGCCCCCCCGCTGCGTGTAGCTTCCAAAAGGAGCATTATTGGCTCCAACAGTTGAATCACAGTCACAGCGACCCGATGCACCAGGAAGACCCTTCTCCCCCTTTTCCCCTACTAGATAGAGACCTGTAAAAAATCCCATAAAAAAAAGGATGATAAGATCACCTTTAATGTCTGTCACATTGCAAATAAATTAAACATGAATTCTACTTTGACATGGCTCAACAACAAATGAAACAAAGCACATTTAAAGACTGAAACACATACGTAAAATAGGACTAAAACTGTTAAAGCTACAGTTGATAAGGATAATACATTGAAGAGAATAGTGTCAACAGGTCAGGGTAGTGCCTATTTTAATTTGTTAAGGGTTATGTTTTTCCGGGTTGATGGGACGTAATGATAGCAGTAACTTAAATATGTGTTTGAGAGGAGTCCTGCTTTATCAGAGTGGCTTTCCTCATCATTGACCCACTGACCCGGAGTATAGTTAATAGTTCAGATGGGGCAGTTTGGGGCGAATTTGCATTTTGCTGGCTTTATAACTTATGCTGTAAATAATATAGGATTTAGTCATTTGAGGCTGATTGAGCACCAGTGTGTGAGTTGCTGTACCTGAGGCAGGTGGACCAGGTGGTCCTGGATGGCCATTTGGTCCTGAAGGTCCTTGGGGGCCCATGGCTCCTGGGGTGCCAGAGTGACCCTTCATGCCCTATGCAAACCAGGAAACATCCCAATATTAGAAAACACATACTGGAGGTACTCACATTTCACTGCCACCTGTGCATAGCTGCCATTTGTGTTAATGTAATGCAACAGACAAGGTGTGTGTTTACATGCATAGACTGTATATGTGTAGGCTGAGAAGATGCAACAGACCCCCCCTCCCTACAGAAGTCTTTGCTAAGGATATCTTGAGTTATTGAATTAGCCGAAGAGAAGACGCAGCTCTCACTTGAGCATCTTTCTTCCTCGTCTTCCTCACCTGTTTGCCTCTCTTCCCTGGCCGTCCAGTGGGTCCTCTCTTCCCTGCCACTCCCGGCCCTCCGTTTGTTCCCTGCTCACCCTGGGAAAAGAGTAGAGGAATAATCAGTTTAAATCAGATTCCTAACTCTCCTTATAATACCTACAGTATAATACTTACCTTCTGTCCAAGCATCCCAGGCAAACCAATGGAGCCCTGCATGAAGACATCATGAGAGCTTGGTGTCAGAAAAGTCATTATTTCAGCAGAGTAGAGATCCATACCATCTTTAAATGTAATCTTTCACTGAGGCTCAAGTGAGCTTAAAATGTCGGGACCTGAGAGAAAGAGTAAAGTCATCTACTTTGTATTCTAACCAGCATTTTACATTTATATTCAAGTCCATTATAACACAGCATGAGGTGCTTATAGTTATAATGCTCACAATCAAAGCATGGGCTGCTATTCAGAGAAAAATGACAACTGTCCACCAACCTTATCTCCTTTTGGTCCTGATGCTCCAGGGTCACCATGACCCCCCTTGAACAAATAAAAGAGTAAAATAAATCAAGGAAGGATTTAATAATTCTGTTGTGACATGTGGCAGACATGAGAGAAGTGATTCTGAACCTACCTTATCTCCTTTGTAACCAGGCAAACCCTGAAAACACACACGGGGAATATAACAGCAGATAATTAAAGACTGTTTCTCTTTTCTTCCCTATCATTAACATCATTGTGTGTATGCCTGTGTAAATGTGACTTGCCTTTATCCCTGGTGGTCCCCTTAGTCCTGGCAATCCCATGAGTCCTGGATCCCCTTTCTCAGCCTAAAAAACCCATACAGGTTCATGTTCTTATACAGCAAGGTGTAAGACCACAACACATTGTGATACAACAGTTACCTGGGGTCCCTCTGGTCCAGGCCATCCTTGTAGTCCTTGTTTCCCTGGGAGGCCTGGAGCCCCTGTACGTCCCTAAGGTACACACAGGGTCAGAGCAGGCACTTATTCAATCTGTTGATGCTTTTTCAAACTCTTCTTGTTGGAAATGACGACTCGGTTGCTTTAAATGGCAGTTTGCAGGTCGTTCCTCTTTGAGTGTTAATAGTCTTATCCTCAACAGCAGAATGTGTTAACAAATTGAATAATTGAATTCATTACGTAAAGAATGAGTTCAACAGGTTTCTTTGATTTCTTGCCAGAAGCTTGAGGAAATGATATTAGAGGAGGTAAGTGTAGCATACAGTTTGAGGCCTAAATTATTAGCCCCCTAGGAGTTATGGAACATTTTCCTAAAATTCTTCCCAATGTTTCCAGCGTTGACAAAACTTGATATAATCAAACATTCACCAGTGCTATTTAGTAGCCTTTGGTACATTTTGGAAAATATAATACGTTTTTAGGCTTGCTTTATATCAAATATAGTGAAAAATGGGTTGGTCAAAAATATTAGCCCCCAGGCCATTAATAGTCAATAGTGTACCCTTTCTGAGCCACAACTGACAACAACCTCTTAGAGTAGTTCTTTGCTAGGTTGGCACAGGTCTCTTGAAGGATTTTGGCCCATTCTTCCATTGCAAATTGTTCCAGCTGGTCCAAATTGCGTGGTTTCCGAGCATGGACATTCACTTTGAGCACCCGCCACAGATTCTCAATAGGATTCAGATCTGGGCTCTGTGCGGGCCACTACAGCACCTTGGTTTTGGTGTCCTTTAGGAACTGTTGGACATTTTTGATGTGTGCTTTGGGTCATTGTCTTGTTGGAAGACCCAGCGATGACCTAAGCGAAGATTAAGAGCAGATTTGTTCATATTATCCCTCAAAATGTCAACATCATTTACATTTTTCATGATGCCTTGCACCCGAACAAGGCTCCCTGTGCCCGAGGCTGCAAAACAGCCCTACAGCATGATGTGTTCTTAGGGTTGAAGGCCTCTCCCTTTCTTCGCCAAACATAAGCAACATCTATGTGCCCAAACAGTTCCAGTTTAGTCTCATCAGACCAAAGCACAGACTTACAAAACTCATCTTTACCTTTCAAATGTTCACGGGCAAACCTCAGTCTGGCTCTGATATGCCACTCTTTGAGTAAAGGGGTTCTTCTGGGACGATGGCCCTGAAGGCCAACACGATGAAGAGCCCTCACAACTGTGTTCCTTGAAACCTCAAATCCAGAAGAGGCCAGGTCGGCAACAATCATCTTGGCAGATGTCCGGGGATTCTTGCTGACATCTCCGACTATTTTCCTCTCCAGAGTTCTTGAAATCTTGCGCTTTCGACCACGCCTAGGTTTGTTTCTTACAGAATTTGTCTCCTTGTACTTCGCAATGATGCAACGTACAGCAGTCTAGACACTGTGAATATTGGAAATAACAGTATAGCCTTCCCCCTTATCATGAGCCTCCACTGTCTTCTTTCTGAGCTCAAGACTGATTTCCTTTGTCTTTGGCATGGTGAGTAGGATTAGTAGTATAGTCCCTCTCAATAAGGTATTCAAGTGCTTGTTTCTTGGAGTCCTTTTATGCTGATTGAATGCTCAGGTGTGGCTTGAAAGCCGATTGGTTGATTAGGTGTGGTTTGAAAGCTGATTGATTGACAACGTCTAGATACACGGCCGCCCAAGCCAGCCCAACGCCTTGATTAACCGTTATAACCACGCCATCGCCCCGCCTAAGCCATAACGTGCAGGAGCCCACGCGCCGTCGCCCAAGACTTTTAGTCTGGGCCACGTCCTGAGACCCGTGAGGGGTTGCGACTCAAAGAACCAATTCAGCTACAATTTTTTGGTGATGAAAAAAGTCGACGAATGGGTCTTCAGAAAAACTTAAACAAAAATCGTGTATGGCATAAATGTAACAACAAAAATTTGATAAGACCCATAGAGAACATACGTACAAAAATACTTAGACAATAAAAGGGTTAATACCAAATAAATAAAACAAGGAACCACGACAAAACAGCACAATTACCTAGTACCTACATTCGTGAAACTTAATGGAGACAGACTTTTTCACGATATAATTTATTTGCATGGAATGTAGAAATAAACAAGGAACACCTTTAACATGTCGAGAGGACTTCCTGGGTAACGTCCTCCAACTTGGAGCGGCTGCGTCTCGCCGAGGTATATCGAACAGCCTAACGGGTTGCGAGGGGACGGAGAACGGTCGAGTTGTGGGTGGTCGTCGGTTGTGTGTGATATATTCTCCACCCCCAATAATTCCTAGGGAACGAGTCTTTGTCGTTCGTATACGTAATTAGTAGAGTAGAAATCAAATTAAGGTCTCACTGCGAGTTGTGACCCTTCATTTTCTACAACTAATAGTCTCCCACCCTCTTCATGAGTCTATAAAATGAACTAATCCTTCACATTCGACATTTCCCAATTTGGTCCAATTAAATTTGTTATTCTACTTCAATTTTTTTCACAGTGGGGTATAAACAATAACAACCTACAAGAAAATCTTCATGAATTTTACATACATGCGTAACGTGGACACACCGCCTGACTAGGTGATCTCCCGACTATGGTGAGCCCTCCTAGATTTTAGTGACGTTCCAGTTACGTCAAAACTCGATGTTTGTCGATTGCAAAGAGGAGCACACAAACATATATGTCACCAAGATTCAGGAAGTTTACTGTGGTATCACAGGGCCATATTTCCCATATGCACAACCACCTCACTATACAGATAGCAACAAAGTCCGTCGATACACGTTACACTGCGATCGCCGATCGATTCCCACTTCCACTTTGCAATGCATAGTATCTGTGCCACAACGAACCACATACTAGCAATTTAATGATACTCCATATAACACAAAGTACGAAACCCAATTTATAACAAAGAATCTTCACACAGCACACACATAACATAACCTTAACTCACATGTAAAAGTCTAACATAAAAAACTGGTTAAGTAGTAATACTACATTTACGACTGAACGGAGTATCTTTTACTCGTATCTATTTACGAAAAACAACAACCTAACAAAAGGGGTTTATTTTCTAATTTAGACGTCAACTAATGTTTGTCGATTACAAAGACAGAACACACAAACAGTATATGTCTCCAATCTCAGACGACGACCGGGTCATGGGATCCGAGTAATTGTATCCGAAGATTGTATTCCCAAAAGGGTTACATTTCATATCATTTTACGTGATATGGTATACCAAGTGAGTATGTTATATAACATTAATCAATATCCGAATTTTCCACCCCATCCATTTAAACCCTTTGGCCGAGCTCTATGTGAAAAACAATATAAGGTACCTTACGAGAAGTGTAGGGCTATCGTTACTTATAACCTCACTGAAACCTGTTATTGCGTAATTTTTTACATGAGATCACCTTCGGTACCGCGACATTTTCGCTGCTGGTTAGTAAAAAATCGGCCGGACCGATTTTATTTGACTACCGATGGACCGGACAGTCGGAAGGTAGACACGTGTTTGATGATAAGCACGGCGAAGTAACCAGAACACGCACAAGCACACAACAACTTTCCTTCCGAGCGACATTCCTTCCCGTCTAACAAAGGTCAACACATAGAAAGTTTCAAGATCGCGTGAGTATCGACCAGAGAGGTCTTATGGATGGGGTGGGAAATTAGTTCATATTATATAAGATGTGTAAAGTAAATAAAACTAACACTATCAACACAAAGTATTGGGATACTTAGTATAATAAGTCTTGGAAGATTAGTAATAACCTTTATAGTGTAAGTGTTTTTGTACCAGGCTTAGTTTTGGGACGGAACTACAAAAACAATAGCATGAATACGTCTCCACTTCTCTTCATGAGTCTAAAGCAATGGTCTCACTCCATATGAGGTCAATCGACGATTTTCCGACGTAAGTTTTACATGGAATTTCGTTCAATTTCATCCTGTCGTAAAGGTACCATACGTGACTTACTCACTTGCTCCCACTAAAACATCAGTTAGGATTAATCACTCTGGTCCCTCGGTCACTTCACTTAAACTCCTATCCAGACTACACAAAGCATGAAGGCATAGAGACGGTAGTCCTAGGATCGTCGCGACCAAAGTCCTACATAACGTCGAAGACCCTCCAAGAAACGATCCTATAGGGTTACTCCTTCACCACATGTCGATCAGGTCGGACCTTCTCTGTTTCCACTACCTGTTCAAAAAATTCGTGACCGTCTAACTCACACACCCCGCCGTCAAAGCGTTATAAAGAGTCCACCATCTTCCTCCAGAACGTGATAAACAAACCTACACCCGAGTTTCAGTCCACTCCTAGGTCAAAATAGAGGGTCTAACCATTGTCACCTACTCTCACCTTACATGACTGGCCTCTTCCACTACGACACCAATACCACCTACTTGTCTGGACTACACCCCACGGTTGTTCTTACCGAACGTCAGACCTCGACAAATTGACTCCTTCAACACAAGGAGGTCCGTACACTGAATAACACCTCTTACCGTCTTGACACTCCAACCCAACGAGACTACATCTCGACACATAGTAGTCGTATCGTTACCTTGCTATAAGGTACGGTCGACTACCTGTGCTGGTTTCCCCCCTGTTACATATACCACTTTTCCCACCCCCGGCTCCTAACTAGGCAACCCCCTTTGGCGTCCAGTGATCACACAAAAAACTAAAACGCGAGGGTCCACTGCACGAGTCAGGAGGGCCACTCTATTCTCCACTGTCAAATCCCGTCTCAGTCTCTCAGGTTAACATCTCGCTTCTGTTACCTCATCTACAGTACCAGCTGCCATAGTTGTCCGAACGTCAATACTAAGATCATCCTACTCCTCTCTACCTCTAGGACCACAGTCGACAGTAGCCAGTGGGGACCTGATTCCGTCAAAAGACATGACACCGCGGGTCGTCTTTTGTCTGACCTTAAGAGTTTCTCAAATAAGTCAAAATCTAAGGGACCTAGACTTTCCGTTAATTAAAGAGGTCATGGAACCTTATCCCTTACCGTCAACCTCTACCCAGATTTCACCCAAAAAACTCCTCACCAAACTACTTTCGTCGAAAACTTACCGCTACCTTGTACGTGGTCTGACCTACCTACCAGTCGCTGAATACCGTGGTTACAAGCTAAATTGGTTTCGACCACCCCTTTCGCCCAGGTCACGTGTCCACCTCCCAAATAGAAAAAAAAGTTTCGGCTTCCAACACTGCACTCGACCGACCTACTTGAAGAAGTCCCAGAAGTGTCAACTCAGGGTGGCTTCACTGTTGGACCCGAGACTGTAATGAGACCTCCTGACTTTTAAGTTTTTTATGGCAAAAATCCGTAACGATAATATAGTTTATATCACTTTTTTACCCAACCAGGTTTTTTTTTTTTTAAATCGGGGGTACACTTAAAAAAACGAAAGTTTGGTGTGGACAATACTTGAGTCTGTGATCCTACATGCTGGGCTAAATAACGTGCTGGCCTCTGTCTCCATTTCATCTAACCATTCTATGAAATAAAAAAGGTTTTTTCGTTCTACTTGTTTTTTACCAGTGATCAGCTTAGAGTTACCAACTCTACTGGGTTTTTATACTCTTTGTTTTACTTTAGCGAGTGCATGACTCCTTGTTTTGAAAAGTTCTCGTGTTTGTTCTCTCGTATCCCTGCGACTGGTACCGTACTCTGTTCTGCTTGACTTTGACTTGTGACCCTCTGTTCCCTTAAGTTTTGTCCTATTGTTCTGTGTCCACCCTGCTAGCGACTACTCGGTGTCCTCCTGTGGTTCCCTTTGTCCACTTGTGTTAGTTTCTGTGTGGTCCTTGATTGCTGTCCCTCCTTTTGTGTCCCCTCTTCCTGGTCTGTTATGGTCCTCTCTTGATACTGTCCACTCTTGTCTTGTCGTTTTGTGGTAAAATGGTCTGATTATGGTTTTGATTTTGGCATCAGTAAAAACGTGGTTTTCTTAGCACTGTCTTGAAGCTGGATGCACAAAATTTCTACAATTCTAACTATGTATGTTTGTCTCTATTCCATCCGACTACTAATCTCGACACGTTTTATCTCCGCTCGAGGCCTTAACCCAGGTCTTGTCCTTCCACCTGTTTGACTAGCTCGGGGCTGTACGATACCTTGTAACTAGGACTTTAAGATAGGGATACGTCGTAGCTATTTTGACATATCTAGCCTGTAGGTGTCACTTCGATGACGCACAGACCACTGTAAACCTTCTGTATTTACTCAGTCCGATCGAAATATAGTTACTGTCCCATCTTGTACCTTCTACGTTTTATGTGGGTACACTTCAACAGACGAATGTATTGTGTTGATTGTTGNAGAACCACACGGGGGGACCTAGTCAATGACCTGCAGAGAGCTGGGACCAAAGTAACAAAGGCTACCATCAGTAACACACTACGCCGCCAGGGACTCAAATCCTGCAGTGCCAGACGTGTCCCCCTGCTTAAGCCAGTACATGTCCAGGCCCGTCTGAAGTTTGCTAGAGAGCATTTAGATGATCCAGAAGAGGATTGGGAGAATGTCATATGGTCAAATGAAACCAAAATAGAACTTTTTGGTAAAAACTCAACTAGACGTGTTTGGAGGAGAAAGAATGCTGAGTTGCATCCAAAGAACACCATACCTACTGTGAAACATGGGGGTGGAAACATCATGCTTTGGGGCTGTTTTTCTGCAAAGGGACCAGGACGACTGATCCGTGTAAAGGAAAGAATGAATGGGGCCATGCATCGTGAGATTTTGAGTGACAACCTCCTTCCATCAGCAAGGGCATTGAAGATGAAACGGGGCTGGGTCTTTCAGCATGACAATGATCCCAAACACACCGCCCGGGCAACGAAGGAGTGGCTTCGTAAGAAGCATTTCAAGGTCCTGGAGTGGCCTAGCCAGTCTCCAGATCTCAACCCCATAGAAAATCTTTGGAGGGAGTTGAAAGTCCGTGTTGCCCAGCGACAGCCCCACAACATCACTGCTCTAGAGGAGATCTGCATGGAGGAATGGGCCAAAATACCAGCAACAGTGTGTGAAAACCTTGTGAAGACTTACAGAAAACGTTTGACCTCTGTCATTGCCAACAAAGGGTATATAACAAAGTATTGAGATGAACTTTTGTTATTGACCAAATACTTATTTTCCACCATAATTTGCAAATACATTCTTAAAAAATCAGACAATGTGATTTTCTGGATTTCTTTTTTCTCATTTTGTCTCTCATAGTTGAGGTATACCTAGGATGACAATTACAGGCCTCTCTCAACTTTTTAAGTGGGAGAACTTGCACAATTGGTGGCTGACTAAATACTTTTTTTCCCCACTGTATGTTGCACTTTTGGAGGAGCCTTTGAGCTAAGTTTTTCATTGCCATATCTACACTGAAGCTAATGTGCACATGACAATAAAGCCTTGAATTGAATTGAATCAGCTGAGCTTTCTATCACCAGCTAACGCCATGCTGTCGCCACAAAACATAAAGAAACGGATGCATTCGAAAGCTGATTGGGCAGTCGATCACCATGGCAACAGTTAAAGCTTCAACGCATTGAGGCCTCCCTATGAGATTTTGAAGCCGATTTCAGACGGTGTTAGATGGTTAAACGTTTGTCACAAGTTGTTGGTCCACTTTCCTGCAGATCCACGCGTGACTCCTCCTGCTTCACTGTGGTGCTGAACAACCTGAGAGTGTTTCTCATCTTCGACTGGCTGCAGCTGGTCAGAGACTTCCTGCGGGTGCCGGTGGAGAAGGTGCCAGGAGCTGCTGAGCCTGGTCAGAGCCGGCCCGGTGACGCCAGCACGGACCCGGGCCCCGCCACCACCAGCACCACCGGGGCCGTCATGCCAAAGACGGTGAAGAGCGGTGTGGTCACCAAGAGGTCCACTGTGCCTGTCACTCAGGACCGCTGCCTGGAGGTCAAGATCAACGTCACAGGTCAGAGAAGAATGTCTTCTTATCTGCCCATTTATTATGTTTTAGGTTTATAAATACCAATACAACAGGTTTTTTTTTGTGTGGGGTGTATAATGTTTTTGATAAAAAAACGATATTTAATTTTTAAATTGAACTCCAATTGCACTTTTGTTATTAAATAAGGAGTACAGTACATTCACTACATTACAGTGGCCACACCTCAGCTACGATCATCAGCAGCACACTGGACCATCAATGAACATTTCAGAAAGCACTTTGATAGCCAGTGAGCTCAAGCACATTTAAACACTCTTCAATAAATGTGTTATTTATTGCCAACTGATAGCATAGGCAGCATATTTTAGCTTTAGTCTTTTTATTTATCATTTAAATGCCATTTTGAAAAATGTTTATACACATAACCTTTTAGTGAGTTACTCAGATGAGTACCAGGAGACAGAGTTTGGTACTCACCCCACACGAAGCGTGGTGTTAATAAGTGCAGTCCCCCTCACTGTCCTCTAATTCCTCTTATTGCATGCTAGATGATGAAGATGCTGCAGATGCACCTCCCTGTCCCTGTTTAAGCTTCCCATTTGCTTTCTCCAAAACGTGTTGCCAAAACTGTGCATTTCCTGAGGCCAGGTTGAAGGATCAAATACTAAGAAATGATCACATGACTTGAAGTCATATCTGATGTGGGAAGTAACTAAGTACACTTATTCAAGTACTGTACTAAAAAATATTAATGTTTTTTCATTATAGTAGCCTGTGAAAACCATAACAAATAAGTGATTACATGCTACAGTATTCAGCAAACACAACTGCAGAGCTGCAAACATTGCACCCTGATACAACACCCATTATTCTGAAATGGACCAATTTGCACAATGACTACTTTTACTGTCGCTACTTTCGCTATATTTTGATGCTAATACTTTTCTACTATTACTTGAGTAACATTTTTAATGCTGGACTTTTACTGTAACAGACTATTCCTACACAAGATCTGAGTACTTCTTCCACCTCTGTCTGATTTCAAACTCTTCCATTAACAAAAACTAAATAAAACTGCAGCCAGTTGGCGGAGTCTTGGCACAATTCTGTTGTACACACCGACGTAAACAGCAGCCCCTTCTGTGCACACAGCGACCGACTTAGACTTTCTGTGAAGCCTCCTGTAAAGGCTTCACCAGTCCGTCGGTTATGGCCTGCGTGATTTGGCCAGCACCCAGTTCAATCAGACAAGAACATCCGAAGATTTTTTGCAGGGAGCGAAACGCCAACTTAGCTGCTTAAAGTATTTAGTTTTTTGGACATGTTAGTAGTTTACTGAGTGTTGATAAGAAACATGTGTAAACGAAATATGTGTTTTTGTTTTGATGAGCTATCAGGTACGCAAAGGCGCTTAGTGACACAAGTGACGTTACGCAATTCAAATGCTTGCCCCGCATGCTTACCTGCGTACCAGTTATGTGCACCCCTGTATATACAATAAGTTGGTTTCTGAGCTGAATGGGAGCTTCAGTTGACCAGGTGTGTGTTTCTGCAGGCACAGAGTTTGTGGTTGTGGAGGACTCGTCTTGTCTGGATACCAACGCCATCATTCTGAAGGGCACCACCGTCCTCACATACAAACCCCGCCTGCTGGACAGACCCTTCTCTGGCAGCCTGGCAGGAATAGAGGTGATCTCCAACTATCATATTAACCCTTTAAATATTCTAACATCCTGCTGAGAGACAGCTAGTGTTATCTGCTACCAATCATCAAAATATCCCCTACTTAATTAAATAGATGAAGAATTAACTGAAATCTTTGCGGTTGTTGATCTGCTAAAATGTACAACTTTAACTTGCCACTTCAAATATTATTATTTCTACACAAGATAAGTCATTTTAATGACTGTTTAATTGTGTTACTGCCGCTACTGCCATACCACTCCCCATGCTACTCCTACCCTTGATTGGGTGAGTTCAGTGCAGAGTGGTATTGTGACTTTAGTATGTAATATGGGATAGGTAAACACTTCATTAGGACAATGAGGACTATTATTACTAACTGACTATTCAGAACCCAAGGTAATGCTTTGACCGTGAGGAGTCCTGTCCCCTCCCAGGTTTTCTCGTGTCGGCTGGGCAGTGAGCAGGAGACAGCGCTGTCCATTATCGACCCAGTCAACATTCAGGTGGAGCTGTGTGGGAGCCCCACATACCAGAGCAGCTCGGGTCTACTGGACGCCTTCAACGTGGAGGACATCCCTCCACTGCTGGAGGTCAGGATAGCACACAACCACAATTGGCTATATAATGATGTTACTGTTGATGGTGCAATGGTTATTACAACTTCTCCCAGTGTCTGATGGGGATAGGCTCTTACCCTGTAGATAACAGTTCAAACTAAAGGATGGATGCATGGATGGGACATGTAAGCATTTCTGTGGGAAAGTGTGGTCACTGAAGACACAAAAGCAAACTCTCTATCTGACAAATCCAAAGTGTTCCACCTTTCTACTTATATGAACAATCCTTACTGTTCCTTTCACAACATGTTTACTCCTGGCTCATTGTAAATGTCTATCAGCTTTATTTGTTAACACCATCTTTTTACCAGTACGTTTTAAATCGTTGCATGGTTTTCAAAGAGTACCCAAGTATGTTAGTATTTGATTTCCATAAAGTTGTTATAAATATGTGCCCATTCTACATTTACCATAATGCAACACAACAGTTTCTTTCATTAGACTATCCCTTCCTGTCAGATTTCCACATTTCTCAAACAGGTGAATCATGTCTCAGTCTCGACAAAACAAAACACAGAGGATATAAAACGGCTGTTCCGCAGGATGACTTATGCTCCCCATCACTAGTGAAGTGACTTTGTAAAGCGGCTGGATTGCCCCTTAAACAGTTTTTTTGTTTCTGTTGCAGATTCAGTTTCCTACTCTGGACATTCGTCTTTCCTACAACGACATTCAGCTCTTCTTGGCAATCGCCAGGTCCATCCCTACCTCCAGTTCTGCGCTGCCCTCTGACTGTGAAAGCAGCACTGAGCCTGCAGCTAGACCCAAGGACCTCTTCAGGCAGAAGACCGAGGCCCTCATAGGTCATGAGTGATTTTCAGTCCCCAAAGGGACCAAGTACTGGGTTATATTGGATTGCATGAAATTGTTAATTGTCATGTAATTTTGCTTTAAAGTTGGCAATGTTGATGTTCAGTAACAGTGATGTGCACAATGCTTTACTTTCTGAATTTTTGTTTTGTCTACACAGCGGGCCAGCTGACCCATTTACAAGACCTTGGCTTCAGGAAAGAGGATTGCAAAAGAGCCCTGATCCACTGTAAAGGTGGGTCAGACCTTTAACACGTTCCACACAGCTGGTGACCAGACAGAAGAACCTAGTCTCTTCATCATTATTGAATGAGCGCTTTATAAAGACATAATTATTCGTCCCTCAGGCCAGCTGGACCAGGCTGCCACGTGGTTGCTAGAGAATGCTGAGAACATGGCAGGCCATGCCAGAGCCCGGGCGAACTCTGCCTCCAGCAGCCACTCTGCTCCTCTGTCGGGGGTGGAGGTGAAGGCTGAGAGTGTGTGCATCTGCTTCATTGATGACTGCCTGGACTGTGACATACCACTGGCTGAGCTCACCTTCTCCAGTAAGTCACACATCAGGGGCCGTATTCACAAAGCATTTTATCTTACCGCTAGGAGTGCTCCTAACTCGCGCTAAAACATTTTACAAAATGTTTTAGCGCGAGTTAGGAGCACTCCTAGCGGTAAGATAAAATGCTTTGTGAATACGGCCCCTGATGTGTGACTTACTGGAGAAGGTGAGCTCNGTGACACCCTTTAGAGGGAGTTAGGAAAAAGTGACAGCTGCCAGTTACTGCATTAAGCTCAGCAGAAATAGAGTGTGTGTTTGACAGCTTGTGTTGCCCGCTTCAGGGAGAGTAAACCATAAGGATGGATCTGATCAAACTTGCCGTGTCCCTTCACTACCTGCTGTGCTCTGCGTGGGCCCGCCACTCTTACATGGACAGCATCCTCTCCCCCCGCTCAGGTAAGTTGAACATTTAACTTGTCATATAAGACAAATAAAACATATTCCACGAATCTTTTAAACTCTGGCTCCCTCTCAGTTCTCAGTTTTCTGGATGAGCCGCTGACGTTTGACCCCTGCTGTCTGATGTCCCCGCCCCCCCCGCCTCTCTTCCCCCCGCCGCCTCAGCTGTGGAAGCATGGCAGCCCCGTAGGTGTTCACAAACACACACCTGATGCCTTATTACACCTCATTTACACACATTTGCATGCTAAGAGTATAGGATTGAACCAGGTTGGATGTTGTGTGTTTGACTGAAGGGTGGTGTTAGCGTGTTGGAGCCAAGCGTGTTTGGAGGAGAGGTAAAGGAGAAGGAAAAACCTGTCACACCTGGGTGTTCAGCTGGACCTCCAGGACCCCTAGGACCCCAGGGCCCGGAGGCAAGACCCTTATATAAATACAACACAATGTATAAATACTCTCATCACGGCCTGCACCACTTTTCAGTTGATGTGCATCCATGAAACTGGAGCCATTTAGATAGAATATTGTTGAATTGAAATGAAACAAAATGACCTCAATATTATTGATTTCTTTACAAATGGACCAAGCTCTGTTCAATTATGTGAGCTGGATATAAATGTAGTCTTATTTTACAGGGTCAAGGTGGATTACCCGGCATCCGAGGACCACGAGGCGAGAAGGTGTGTGTTTGGGTTTTGTTAGTCTTGAAAATGTCTCTAATGTACTTTGCTGTTGAAGTATCTGTGCGTGTGTCCTTGTGTTCCTCTCTGCTCTAATGACTGCTGCATCTCCTCTCTCCTCATTTGTCCTCCTCCAGGGAGAAATTGGACGTCCCGGGTCAAAGGTGAGCCGCTCCTCCCCTCCCGCATGTCGCCTCCCCTCGCTCGTCTCTCTCTGGTCCATCTCGCATGTCCTTGGTATAATGGGATCTGAATTTCTCTCTCCGTCGTCCCCCCTTATGCATCCTCCATCTCTGTGATGTGATTTGTCTATTGATGTGCTCAGAATATCCTCTGCTGCTGCTAAATGGGTCACGCTACATTAGTCCCGCTCTTTCCCTGTAGCAAAGCTCGATCACATCCCAGGCTGTCTCACCTCTCTTTCTCCCCTCTATCCTTTTCCTCTGCTTCCTTCTTCCTCCCCTCTCCCTTTCCTTGGCCCGGATCCATTACTCTTCGTACTGGACTCCAGTCCTGCTGATCCAGGCTCTCCAGCACTCCACTTGTGCACTTTAATCTCCTTAAGTGCTTTTGCTCTCCGTGATAAATCACTGCACACAGCAGCAGCAGGTCCACGGTGTCTCTACAGGCTGCCTTTTTTAATGACGGCCAGCTAAATGAGAGCACTCTGGTAGCATGGCAGCCGCTCTGGGATACTTGTCCCATTGAGATGCGAGGCTGATTTGTAATGCATTCGGCTTTTCTTGCTTGAGGGGAGCTGGCGATAGAGCAACATTGATTAGGCTTTTATTCCTGTCTGCTAATTATTGAATCTTAGTGGCATTGTAAAAGCAGTTGGCATGCAGGGTTTTGTCCTCTGTCATGTCCCATTAGGAAATCATACGAGGTCCGTTTAACATGCTAATTTGTTTATGACCCTTATTTAGCCTGGTTACACTCTAAAGAAATCAGTGGCTCTTTTTTCAGGGGAAACAGGGCCATTAAAGAAGCATCTTGGCAAACGTAAAATGCTGCAGCTCATCAGCATAACAGCAAAATACAAACGCAGAATCTATATATCTATATCTACTATATCTTGTCATTTTTGCACCACAGATTGTGTACTGATTAGACAATATGTTTAAAAAAAATTATAATATCTTTTAAGAGTTACTGGTAGGCTGATTATTGGACGTTTGGTGAAAAATAAAGGCGTGCTGTTCCCCTCTTTCCAGAATGTACAGTTGAGGCCTAAATTATTAGCCCCCTAGGAGTTATGGAACATTTTCCTAAAATTCTTCCCAATGTTTCCAGCATTGATAAAACTTGATATAATCAAACATTCACCAGTGCTGTTTAGTAGCTTTTGGTACATTTTGGAAAATAAAATAAGTTTTCAGGCTTGCTTTATATCAAATATAGTGAAAAATGGGTTGATCAAAAATATTAGCCCCCATGTGAATTGTTGCTTTCAAAACACACCTAATCAATCAATCAGCTTTCAAAACACACCTAACCAACCAATCGGCTTTCAAGCCACACCTGAGCATTCAATCAGCATAAAAGGACTCCAAGAAACAGGCACTTGAATACCTTATTGAGAGGGACTATACTACTACTCCTACTCACCATGCCAAAGACAAAGGAAATCAGTCTTGAGCTCAGAAAGAAGATAGTGGAGGCTCATGATAAGGGGGAAGGCTATACTGCTATTTCCAAGCGCTTCACAGTGTCTAGAACTGCTGTACGTTGCATCATTGCGAAGTACAAGGAAGGAAACAAACCTGGGCGTGGTCGAAAGCGCAAGATTTCAAGAACTCTGGAGAGGAAAATAGTCAGAGATGTCAGCAAGAATCCCCGGACATCTGCCAAGATGATTGTTGCTGACCTGGCCCCTTCTGGAGTTGATGTTTCAAGGAATAACAGTTGTGAGGGCTCTTCATCGTGTTGGGCTTCAGGGCCATCGTCCCAGAAGAACCCCTTTACTCAAAGTTTGGCACATCAGAGCCAGACTGAGGTTTGCCTGTGAACATGTGAAAGGTAAAGATGAGTTTTGTAAGTCTGTGCTTTGGTCTGATGAGACTAAACTGGAACTGTTTGGGCACATGGATGTTGTTTATGTTTGGCGAAGAAAGGGAGAGGCCTTCAACCCTAAGAACACATCATGCTGTGGGGCTGTTTTGCAGCCTC